CTGCACTCCAGTCTGGACAACGGAGTGAGACTCCAACTCAAAAAAAAAAAAAAGAGAGAGAGACTAGGTGCTGAATGCAAAAAAAGGTGAGAGAGGGAAAAGACAGAGTAAAATGGTAAGCCCTGATATTAGCTCACATATAGTGAGAATATGCATCAATTTATCTTCTTGATGACCCAATGACGTTCCTGTTCCCTCTCTGTCACTAGATATTCTCCTTTGAGCCCTCCTGAATTCCTATCTCCTTCCCCACCTACCTGCCCCTGGGGTGAGAGGTAATCTTTATGGACAACGCTAACTCTCTGGCTCTATTTGTATTCAATTAATAGAAAGCACCAGCAGGAGCTGGAAGGGCAAAAGGAAAATGAACCAAGGTTATTTATTCCTTCCCTAGGATGAGGGCCTGCAAACTATAGCCCAGAGAACACATCTGGCCTGCAAACCTATTTTCATAAGTAAAGTTTTATTGGAACACAGCCCCACCCATCCACTAAAGTATCACTTATAACTGCCTTCACACTCCAACCGGTAGAGTTGAATAGTTGTGATAAAGATGGTATGATCAGTCAGATGGATCACGCCTGTAATCCCAGCATTTTGGGGGAGGAGGAGACTAGAGGGTTCCAGACCAGCCTGGGCAACTTGGCAAGACCTAGTCTCTACAATAAATCAAAAACATTAGCCAGGCATGGTGGCACACACCTGTGGATCCAGCTGCTTGGAAGGCTGAGACAGAAAGCTCATATGAGCCCAGAAGGTCAAGGCTGGGGTGGTTGTGAGCATGCCACTTCACTCCAGTCTGGGCAACAGAGTGAGACTCTGACTAAATAAATAAATGTGATATGATCTGTCAAGCCTAAAGTATTTATTTAATTTTTAAATTTATTTTATTTTTGTGTCGGAGTCTCACTCTGTTGCCCAGGCTGGAGTACAGTGGCACACTCACAGCCACCACAGCCTTGACCTGCTGGGCTCCAGTTATCCTTCTGCCTCAGCTTTCCAAGTAGCTGGAACTACAGGCGCGTACTACCACACCTGGCTAATTTTTTTGATTTATTGTAGAGATGAGGTCTCACCAAGTGACTCTTTCACTTCAGCCTTCCAAGGAGCCGAAATTACAGGCATGTGCCACCATGCCTGGCTAATTTTTTTATTTATTGTAGGGACAAGGTTTTGCCATATTTCCCAGGCTGGTCTCGAACCCATGGGCTCAGGCAATCCTCTCGCCTCCGCCTCCCAAAGTGCTGGGATTACAGGTGTGAACCAGCACACCTGGCCTAAGTATTTATTTTTTGATATTTTACAGAAAAATGTGTGTTTACCTTTGCCTTAGGTAGGTTAATTCCTTAGACATCTTCATCTCTGTCAAAACCCACTCTGTTGAAGGGCACTCCCCTCAGCTGCATATACACTCCAGCGGGAGCTCCTTCTAACTTCTGGTAAACATCCCTTCCCTAGGTCCCACTGAAGCCTAAGGTTAGTTTTCACTGATGCTACTCCCAGGGTGTATCACCTTTATCAGTGCACACACTTAGTTCTTTCATGTCTCCTAATTTACCAAATTGGATTGTACCACCAATATCTTGCTGTAAAACCCCATCTGACCCATTACATGCATAGCATTGCACTAGAAGCAATGAAAAGAAGAGGAGGAAGAAGGAGGAGGAGGAGGAAGAGGAGGAGGAAAGAAGAAGAAAAGAAAGAAAAGAGAAAGACCAGGTAAAAATTTGTATTTTATGATTTGATGGAGAGGAAAGGTGAGCAATGCAGATAAGAGAAATACAAATAGCTATTATATAAGGAACACTGCTTATGAGTACAATAAGAGAGGTCGCTATAGAAAGATCACAACTGGCTGAAATATTTAGGAAGGCCTTCACTGATGAAGTGGATTTGAGCTGAACCCTACAGGATGGGTTGGTTTTTTGTTTGTTTGTTTGTTTGTTTTGAGTTGGAGTCTCACTCTGTCGCCCAGACTG